ATTACTTCATTCTATTGTTTGTTCATACCTACAAAATATCAGAATTGAATTGGTTTGGTTAGTTGTTCGAGTATTGATCGGAAATATGATGTTTTAAACTCAAACAATGGACATTTGTTCGTGCCAATACATTCATGTACATCTTTCAGGATCATGATTTGCATTTACCCAAAGAGGACAAGAGAAATCTTCCAAAGAACGATAGACCAGTCGCATTGCTATCAGTGATATCAAAATTCATAGAGAGAGCCGCAAACCACCATATCCTTGAATATTTGGAAGGCTGCAACATCTTGAGCGTTCATCAATATGGTTTTCGGAAACAGGCAGATCAACAGGCGACCTTTTATCCTATGTTACCCATATTTGGAATAACGCCATCGAGGAATATAGAGAGTCAAGAGCTGTTGCGCTTGATATTTCTAAGGTATTTGACCGTGTGTGGCATGAGGGTTTGTTGTCGGATAATTTTTGTGTATGGCTCTCCAGCTTCCTGAAAGAACGTTCCCTGCAAGTGGCCGTCGACAGATATCTCTCGAATACTTTTACCATCAACGCTGGTGTTCCCCAGGGATCCATATTGTCTCCAACCCTCTTTCTATTGTATATCAACAACTTATTGGTTAAAAATCAAGAATCCAATATATAACTTTGCTGAAGACAGCACACTTGTTTCGTCATTCCATTTGGATTTCAGGTCATCAGCGGCAGATGCACATCTTCACCGGCAGCAGGAGGTTGCATATCCTATTGAGTAAATTGATGGATGTAGCCGTTAATACGTGGTAGGAGATCATCATGAAAAGAGAAATTTGAATTTCTGTTTTTTTAATGTTTTATGAATAATTTACTTAAGCTTTTGTATACAACCTCTCCGTTACATTTCTATCTTATAACTAACTATCACCAGTGTTGCCAGTTATCTATTTTGTACTTAGGGAGTTTTTAGCGTTACATCCAACACCCCCTCTCGCTAAAATCCCTAAGGCCTATACTATAACATAACTTTGAGAACAACCCATATGGTAAGCCTTTTGTGAGTATATCTGCCTCTTGTAGAGACGTTTCAATATATTTTATTTCAATGTGGTTCTTCTCCAAGTGTTGGACATACTCAAACTGATACAATAAACTAACAATGATTCATTACATTCGCCAATAGGTATATACCATTCAGGTACTTAATTGAGTACCTGAATTTACAGTTCACAATGCGGATGTGCCAATTTAAAAACCCAAGAGTGAATTAAATCGATTTGATCATTCAACAGGTTGCACCCGCAATGTTTATGCTTGTAAATTTCCAAGGATTCTAAATAATTGAGTTTACAACCCTTCCTTGCATAGTGCAGAATTTCCGTATCGAAGATCAATTCTAGATCATCCCCCTCCGTGATGAATTCATAATCTGAAACAAAACCGAAGAATCAGAGAATGTCACGCCGCTGTGGATTCTTTAATATTAACAAATCAACAATTTCATTTGAATAATCAAAATATAAATGAAAACACTAAACATTCAATTTCAATTGTTTACAACCAGCACGTGCATACCTCTCGTGACTTGTTCCTTGTTTCTTTTTCATTTTTTTTTCGTATTCATCTTATTATTATCTTCCATATTTGTCCTTCTCGACGATTTTTCGAAATACTGGGTAGATACAGTCAGCTGATCCTCCGTTTCTCACTATGTTAATCATTATCACATTGCTAGGAACAAAACATTAATTCACAAAATTATGTTCATGAATGTATATGACTTTTTTTAAGTTTCAGCCTACTAGTCTACTGATAACATAACTTCATTTCCCAGTGATATTCAAAATCTTTAGCTTAGCTCTACTTATATATGTTTCATGTAACAATAAATCGCATTGTTTGATTATTGTACTCAAGTAACATAACTCAAACCAACTAACTTGAAAGTGAGTCAAACTTCCATCAATATTTAAAATTAACAGTTGAAAAATCCTTCTGGGACAAAAGGGAAGAAAATTTTGAAACCACATCGTTGCAGGTGTTGTGGTATGTCAGGCAGGATGCATTTTGGAAAATCTTGATAATAAAGTAGCCGAAATAGGTTTAATGATACCACTGGATCTGGGTGCAAAAGGATCCTGCCATATAGGAGGAAATGTTGCTACAAATGCTGGCGGCTTAAAACTATTTCGGTATGGAAACTTGCATGGAAATGTGCTTGGACTGGAAGTGGTAAGAACACAATTACATAAATGAAGGTGGCAATGAAGTACTAGTGGGTACTAGATTGTCTTCAATTTTTATATCTTAGAGCTTAAGTCGAAATTTCTCACATACGCAGAGAAAAACAAAACTATAAATTTTAAAGTTTTTTTAAGAATTAATCATGTCCGTTCAGTATGAATCTACCTTGAATCATTATAAGTTTTATTGTACTTAAAATCATTCATGAATATTCATACCCGCAATCAATTACATTCGTAAATCAGACTTGTAATATAAGTTTTTCGAAAGATCCTGAGTTCGATCCCAACTCCGACCAGACATTTTTCTGGAGAGAAATTATCTAGTTTAAGTTGAGATGATTTTACAGTTGCACGTGGCTGACAGACAGCGAAAAGCTATGATGTTCCCTAGGTGGCTGAGAGATTTATTACTATTGCATACCCAGAAAACGGAGCTAAAAATCAAGCAGTCGATGACAAAAAAAAAATAAAAATTTTGCATATAATTACATTGTACAGGATAACATAAAAAAGTGCCATGTCTATACCGAGTGGAATTAATATATAATTGAGAATGTTAGTGGGAAATAATATATTGTTTCAAGAATGTTTATTGCCTTCGAAAGGGAATTGCAATGTTCAAAATAAATCTGTTGAATTTATCTAGGTGTTAGCTGATGGTACAGTCCTAGACTGCATGAGTTCCTTCAAAAAAGATAACACAGGTTATCATTTGAAGAATATTTTCATAGGATCAGAAGGTACCCTGGGATTTATAACAAAGGTTGCCCTTCAGTGTCCACCGAGGGCCAACAGTATTACCTTAGCATTCTTAGGTGAGCACATGCATATTTCAAAGTATAAACAAATCTTTCAAACACACGTCGTGAATTATTTGCTAATAAAACTGCATTTTTTTAGGTTTACAAAATTTTGAAAGAGTTTTGAGAACTTTCAAAAAAGCCAAACAAGACCTTGGGGAAATTCTTTCAGCGTTTGAAGTATTAGATACCCCCACGATGGAATTTGTGAACGAGCGACTGAAAATGAATTCTCCAATAGGTGATTTTCCATACTACCTGCTCATAGAAACATCAGGAAGCAATGAAGAACACGATAGTGATAAACTTCACCAATTTTTAGAATCATGTATGGAAAAAGAACTGGTCTTGGATGGAACTGTAGCTACAGAACCACACAAAATAAATGTGAGTAATAATTGTCTGAATTTAGATTCATTACATTTCGATATAAGTATTTATATCTACTATTTCTACATAACATCGATTTTTTAGGCAATTTGGTCTATAAGAGAAAAAATTCCAGATGTTTTCAAAGACTGTGGTTACTTGTTCTGTTACGACGTTTCTTTGCCACTAGAGAACTACTACGTGTTGGTTGATGACATGACACAACATATGGGTAAACTTGCAAAAAAAGTATTCGGATTTGGGCATATGGGTAAGTTCTCATATATGCTTTATACTATAGTATGTCATATAATCTATTCGGTGCAATTCATAAAAAAATAACTTTTTTAGGCGACAGTAATCTTCATCTCCAAGTTGAAGTCGATGAGTTTACAAGAGAAATAAAGAATCATATTGAACCATTTATTTTTGAAAGAACAAAACAACTGAATGGTAGTATAAGTGCAGAGCATGGAATGGGATTTTTGAAAGCTAGATATTTGAATCTGGCCAGGCCATATAATACCGTTAAAGCAATGGAAAATCTTAAAAAACTATTTGATCCAAGTGGTATCATGAACCCTTATAAAGTATTACCTTGGTAAATGATAAATAATACAATTTCAATGACTACGCAATAAACGAGGCTTTCAACAGTCTGCTGGTTTTTTATGAAGTTGTCCAAAACTAGTCCAAATAATAGATCACCGCTCATATATACATATTTGAACATATTTTGATATGCTTCAATGGCTCTAACAATATATAAAATAAACGTTATTCTACTTTATGAAGTGAAAATCATAATGAACAAAACAAATTTTTTATTTGTTGTATTTGCTGAAGTAGATCAAAAGGGTGTTGTTTCAAAACACATCAATCAAATGTTGTACAGGGTGTGTAGCTTTGAAAAAAAACATGACTGCCTGCGTTAAAGAGACAACATTGGCTGCCAACGTTAGAAAAAAAAATATGGCTGCTATTGAGGTATACAGGGTGTGTTTGTAGCGTTGAAGAAAAGTTACCATGGAGGTATACAGGGTGTGTAGCGTTAAAGAAAAAACCATGGCTGCCAGCGTTGAAAAAAATATGGCTGATAGCGTTAAAGAAAAAAATATGGCTGCTATGGGGGTGTACAGGGTGTGTTTACAGCGTTAAAAAAGTTGCCATGGAGGTATACAGGGTATGTAGCGAGTAAGATATTTGAACCGGTTCTAAGCCTCCCCCCTCCACTAAGACGTCATTATTGAAATAATGGTGTAATTAGGGTGACCTTGAACGGCATGTCTAGTTCAGATTTTTTTTTATTGGGGGATGTGGGTAGGGGGTGGGGGGCATTCGATCTTGGGTTAGATTATCCTTCATGTTTACTGAGTACAAACTTTCTTGTACAAAGTACACATTGGAATTGTATTAGGTTATTAGTTTCATTTATACGTATAAGATTATTTGGATGTCAATTGTAAGGAAACATGAACATTTTTCATACATTGTTGAACACACTCACTTCATGAATCGAAAGACGATAAAGTCGTGAGTATTATGAATGAAGATGAAGACTTCATGGTTGATCTGATGTTTTTTTCTCATTTGTTTTCAGTTCAATCATTCAAAGATGTGGATGTAATATGCTAGTGAACACTGGATCGAGGCCGAGGATCTCGCTTCATCCATCCAAAGACTGTCTTCCAAATTGAAGGCATTGAGTGAGAATACTGAGCACGCAACCAATTATGACCTGAGTGTGTGTTATGATGAAGAAAGGATCGAATTCTGTCTTCGTGATGCTGAAAACTACAACAATGGTGCGGAAGTTTGCGTCCAATTTGTAGCTGGGACTTTGGCTCTGAATTATCTTTGTGAGGCAATGATTGAATTGAACCTGAGGAGATTCCTGTACCGTCTTCAACCATATCTACCAGAATGGATCGTTCAAAAGTTCCAATTGAATGATGAATATTGTGAGGAAATTGAAGACGGTAGAGAAAATGATGAATATGAAGAAGAAATAATTTTGGATTGTATATTGTATAATTTGTATAATTCCCATTATACAATATTGAATGATTACAAAATAAATATATAAATGAAGAAAAAGAGTTCTGTCGTATAGTTGGCAGTGAATCCTTTTTCAAATATATTTTTATACTTGATTATACGTACAATATCGTTCAATTAGAATTTGAGTGAACTTTTTTTCCTCTGGATTCCTTTCATGACATTGAATTTTAATTTTGTAGTTGAATTAACATTTATGAGTTCTATACCAGTTGTACTATGTACCTTGTTGTTATATTTCATAACTCTTTCTGTTATGGCTGCTTTTTGGTGCTAAATGTTGAATAATGATTGATTTTATATTGTCTCATGAGAGAAAAAAAAATTTTATTGAAAAATTCTTTCCCTTGATCGCTTTCTAGATGTTTCGGAAAATACTTGGCTAGCTTCAGAACACGTTTCATTGCATTGGTTATGGTACTACCGGTTTTATTTTTAGTTAGCACTGTCCGAAGATACTTCGAGTAGCAATCAATTACCACAAGGATATATCGATGTCCTTTGTTACATCCTGCAAATGGTTGCATTTCAGCTAAATATATTTGCCATAGATCAGGAAACCCTTTGATGATTGTTATTCTTCTGTGGAAATTATGTCTTACAGGTCTGTGTAACTCGTTGACGACTTGTCGCTTAACATCACTAATTTCATTATCCATTCTTTGTTTTGAGTGCAAATGATGATAAATTGCTAATGTTGCTTTACTGAATAGTGGGGTGAGAGTAATTTTTATTTGTGAATGTTTCAATATATTATCTCTTCTTCACGCAATTCTTCAATTATTGGAATTATTTCATTGTTGTGTTCAGTATGACAAGCTGCTTTTGAAGATGCTAATAGTCGTAAACGAGCAACCAACTCTTTTGGTGAGTTCCAGTAGACATAATTCACTGGTTTGGAATCATATATTTTCTGCTTTTCGTTTCGATTGACTGTTCCACCAATTCAGTTCTATCCCTCATTGGATAATGAGTTGAGTCTAGTATAGGTTTGATAACATGACGACATTTTTTGGAATTCGTGTTCTTGAAACCATTCTTCAATTGGTGTTGTTTGTATGGAGCATTCGTTACTTTCAATATCTTTGAATATGTTTGACAAATTTGTTCATCGTCAATATTTTGTGGATTCTTCAAGAATATTATATCATATAATTCTGGACTACCCGGAAACTAATATTTTTTCGCTTCATTGGTATTCCAAAACACTATGTTTCCATCATTGAAATGTACCTGAAGATTTCCCATTTTTAGTTTTTGTGTGATTGGTTTCATTCGTACACCAAAAGTTGCATCATATGCCACATTTTTACTATTGATATTCCTCAAATGTTTTTTCAATATATCTTCAAGACTTTCATCCAAATTGGATGAAGAGTTGACATCTGAGAAACGGATGCGAGACGATGATGGCGGTGTTTCAAATAGGCTCGTTGCAATTTCATTTCTTAATATGTCTGTCTCACTATCTGCAGATGATACACTACCAAAAGATTGATTCCTTCTTATTGGAGTACTCGTGGGATGAATTGGAATAGTCTGAAAGTTTACTTGTTTGTTGGATAACTGCGATGTTTACGATGTAGTACCATTTGATTATAAAACGTTAAATGGTTTATTATGGGTTCATAGAGTTTTTCCAATGCCATACGATTTTCAATATTACCATTCTTAATTGAGTTGAATTTGTGTCTGACAGCTTCTATTGTCTCAACTAGTTGACGTTTCAAATCCATTTCATTGCTTTTATTTTCATCTACAGAACCATTTTTCGGATTCATATTATTTTTTTTGTTATCATACATGAATTCACTGAAGTTACCTCTATACAATCCAATGATCCATTGAAGTTGAATAGCGGCATCATGGATATATAAAACTATCGAATCACTTGCATGCATTTTTCTATCCTTGTCAATGACTAGCAATTGCAAGTACTGATATTTAGGTTGATTGAGTGATACACATTTCTAAATTTCAGTCCTTGTGGACGTGTAAATAGCGTATTACATTAAATTCAATAATAAAAAAAAGTTTATCTATCAGAGACATTTATTTCTAAAACATTTTCTGTCCTTTTCTTTTGTATACGGCAAGTAATATGCTTGCTCGTAAGGGCCGTGGGTTAAATCTGACAGATGAGTATAAATATGTACAAAAAAATGATAACAAGGGCGCCAAGTAGTTTTTTGTGCACCGACTAGCCTAAACCTGAAATGAAACTGATGAAACAGTAAGATGGAATACGACAAAGGAACAAGAATAAAAACGTTGAATGTTGCTTCCCCAAAATACGCCTGTTCAACGGATTTATTCTTCACTTATACTACAAACTAAACGTTTATACAAAGGCGAAGACAAAACTATTCGGAAACACCTATTCAGCGAGGTTCATTGCTTTCGTAAACAATAATGTCAGAATCCCGCAAAAACAACACCATTANTATAATTAAAAAAGTTGCATTCGGCGCTGGAGTGGTTAATAAAGTACGAAATGTGTTGAAAAAAGCTGGTGGGGATGAGTTTGTGACGACTAATAGAAAAAGGAATATTACTGTGGCATTGCAAGCAGCACGTAAATATCTGAAAGCTGTTGGTGGAAAGAAAAAAATTCGCACACCTAGAATAATTTCAATTTCCAATTTTGCCATTGAAACCGATTTTTGCTGGACTTTCAGCACTCGGAAGTTTACCAGGTGCTGCTGCAGGAATTACCAAGGCTGTGAATTCAGCAAAAGCGAGCAGAGCAACTCTGACTGAAGCCAATCGCCATAGTAACAAATGGAGGCTATCGCATTAGGTGAACGTGGTAGTGGAATATATCTTAAAACTTATCGTAAAGGATTGGGATTATATTTGAAACCATACAAAGCATTTCAATCACACAAATAAAAAAACTAGTTGATTCCCTACCTTTAAGGCCTCTCACCGATATAATAATCAATAATTATGTACAGAAAGTGAAGATTCCCCCCTTCCGTGGTGTTTTTATGCGTGACAAATTACCCTCTACAGGACCGAAACAGTATCTATTGTCAATTTAGATGGAATAAATGGACCTGGAACACATTGGGTGGCATACAAGAAATGTGAAAAAGAAGTCACATATTTCAATAGTTTTAGAGATTTACCCCCACCAATGAAATTGATTCGGTATTTTCAAAAATATTCGAAGGTGAAAATCAACTATAACTGTGATCGTCAACAGAAATTCAATACAGTTTTCTGTGGTCACTTGTGCCTGAATTTTCTCTATGAATAATTTTTCAAATAAAATGAATGCAACTCCAACATTAGATCGAGAGGCCATTAAGGGGATGAGGTTTTCACTTGAGAGATAATTAAAATATCGCACCCTGACAAAAATTGATAAAATAATGGACGCAAATATGCCTAAAGAAGTGATACTTGCTTGTGCTGCACATGAGATTGCATATGTTTGGGAAAATTTACCTAAATATCTACAAGATGATACTGACATAATGAAGTATAGCTGAATTGAAGGGGTTATATTTTTAGGAGTGATTACTTTTTGGGAAAGAAAGTTTTTGCCTTTTTTTTGTATCAAGATGCAGTAATAGAAAGCCAAAAACTTCCTTTC